AAGGAAGGAAGGAGAAGGCATGGTGAGAAAATAAAAAGGAGGCAGGGCAGCAAAGGACAAGGGACGCTCCCTGCTACCTTCTCCCTAGATAATTAACACAGTTTCAGTTTTACTTTCTCCAAGGTACCAGGAAGCAATTGAAATACATTCATACAGTTAGTTATGGGCTCGACTAAGGGTTGAGGGTTCTTACATAAAAGTAAGAAAGAATTTTCTGACACAAGAAGCAAACAAGCAAGCAGGGTGCCATATTTTATGAGGATAAATCAAATTATCACTAGTATATTTAGAAAAATGTGATTTCCTACCTACTAGTATAGTTATGATGTCTTTTAATGTATGAGGTGCCACAAGACTGTTGTTTCTTCAGCTACAGACTAATATGGCTACTAAGATCCAAGAAACAAAAGAACAATTTAATTATTGCACACTCTCAGCCAAAACTGCCATGGGGAGGAGCCCCTTTTTTCCTTGGACCTCTTCATTCATTGACTTGGTCCCTTCCAGACCCTGTACCCTGTGCCTCTTGGTAACTCTCCTCTGCCCCCGCTCCAATGTGCACTCTTCTTTTTGAACTATGATGCCCAGAGCTGGAGATAGGACTCCAAATGGGATCTGTCCAGGGCAGGGCAAAGTGGGACAGTTAGTTCACACGAACTGAACTCTGTGCTTCTGTTAATGCACCTCAAGACAGCTGGCTTATGCTTAATTTGAGATTGACAAGGGCGCTCCTTCTCATGAACTACTGTGAAGCCCAATCTCCGCCAACCTGTCCTGTGCCTTTAATTTTCCTACCCCAGTGCAATAAAACTGCCATAAAACTCTGTTCCTGACCTGTTGATAGAAGTCATAAATCAGAGCAATCCGTTCTTCCCTCCTGCATTTGGGAACTAGAAAAACATCTCCAAATCCGGACCAGGACAGGCCCTTCTTTTCCTGTGTGGCTCTGGACTCCAGAGCAGCTGGAGCTCAGACCCCAGGAAGACAGGCTCTCCTCTGACCAGGCAGCTTGGCTTGTGGCCCCAAGGGCAGGGAGAGCCCACAGGAGAGGCACCCTGACACCCCAAGGGCCCCCTGTCCCCATTCGGCTTTTCACCATCCCACAAGCAGGTTTTGTGTGAGATGGAGGCTCTGTCCTTTATAGGCAGCAGCTTATCTTTGGCTGAAAAAAGGATTGGGGTTCAGGACAAGCTGTCCTTCCAAGGAGCCAGGCTCCCTTTTCCCATCTCCTCCTCTCCCCACCCAGAACAGCACTGCTTCCCATGTGCAAATCCACCATGCTTCCTGAGACTGCAGAACTGGGGAAAGGGAAAGGAGTGACTTACCACACACTGCATCAGGACCAGGTCGAGGAGAATCCCGTCCGTGGGCACCTCCTGCAACTCAGCAGGGTCTCCTCTGGGCACTCAGTTAGTTAGGTCTGTTTCTGCCTGCTGGGACCTAGGCAGCAACACCAAAGTCCCCATCAGCACACCCAACCCACAGCCTTGGCCTCCAGGAAGGGCCTTTGGCATGACGCCTTCAGGAGCCAACCCTTGCTTTAACAGCCAGTGTTCTCTGCTCATCTGAGTTTCTTCTTTGGCTGTCCCTGTGCCCGATTCCTTGGAGGAGTTTTGGTAAAGGGCCATGTGCCAGGGTCAGGAGACATTGGTCAGATCAACCACTGTCCAGTATAAAAGTGGTTTTTATTGTTGCTTTGTTTTAAATTCAAGTTGTGACATGTAGACGGGGCTGGGATTTGCAGAGAGAGTCTGGAAAATTCTTTGTACATGTATCTAGGAACATTTTCTACAGTTTTAATTTGTTCACCTGGACAAAACCTGGACTGTCCGTTTTCAGCATATCGGAAGAGGGGACTTAATGGAGGCCAGATGGGAGCAGGTACTGCTTGATCCAGCTTTGTCACTGGGGGCTCAGGTGAGCACAGTGGAGCTGAACACTGGGATATCCTGGACAGTATCGCTTATCTGCAGAAATCCTTGACTTGGCTGTCTCACCTTTGAGCAACTGGAATGTGTTCTTTAGGGTATTCAGGTCCATACACTTACTATCATGTCACAGATGATACAGAGGGCAGCAGAGTGGTTACCTGGATGAGGTCATCTTATTTTCAGCCCTGTTACCAGCCCCCTTGGGGGGAGGCTCCATCCTTGACCTAGCCATTTCATCCTGTGGTTTTCTGGGTTGGAAGTTTTGCTGCTTATTCACCTCAGATTTTACTATACTGATTTCATTATTGCTGGGAGGGGGCATTTTTATCATACTATTGTTATTTCCAAATCTTTCTTCAAAAGAACAATTAGAAAACCAACCAACAGAACAAGAGTAACCATCTCAGCACCAGAAAGGGCCTCCTGGAAGAGGAAGCTCTCGGGTGCCTTTGGAAGTTGAGTCGCATTGGAAGCAGGTAGACATCTAGATGATGAGACCCAATAGCCTGAGCCCTCACAGAAAACCCACTTGCTGCCTCTTCCCATGGTTCTACCGGTGGGCAGTGGAAGAGAGGTAGCCTTGAATGTGCAAATATAAAGAGAAAGGTTGACCAACTGATCAGACATTGCCCACGCACGAGTGCTAAATATTCAGAGCAGAGGCAACACTACACACGTGCAGCAGCAGGAGAGGGAAACTGCAAAAGAAATTTTCTGGTGCAGAATCCCGGGTCATATTGTACCAGATTGCAATGGCGTACTTGTTCATATAGGAGTGGGCGCCACTTGCGGGGGAGGGGGGGGGAGGGGGTATCACAGTTCTCCTTGGCTCCAGTATTAGCTGCAGAAGGTGGTCTCCTCTCTTTGTCAAGCCCCAAATCCTTCAC